AGCCTTGCTACTCCCGTACTTCACAAACCACCTGACCCCAGCGAAGCATCAGCATGGTTTCCGTAAAGTGCACAGTACAACAACCCCGCAGGACCCAAATTTTTCAGCATCAGCATGCATATTCCGTCGGGACCCATGGCTTTGGAGGCTTTCGCCTTCCCGATGGCCACCTGAACTTCACCGCAAGTGAAAGCAAGGGGGGCACAGGTTGTTGGCAGTTTGTGCAGCATCTTCATCGGTTATATACGTTGGTCGTTTCTTTACCATCAAGTGGTAATAGTAATCGCGTCAAACTTTCCTTGTTCCCAACGTTTTATGAGACGAAAAGACAGGACATTTCCTGGACATCATTTTGTATTCGAACAAAGATGGCGTAATTTTTACACCAAGATCATAGAGCTTTTTTTTACTACGGAACAGGTTGTTTTATTACATTCACCACCACTTTCTTTGCTATTCTCGCCAAGTGGCATTTTCCGTTTAATGGCCAAAAATTGGCTGTGTTGCAAATGCAGAATGAACAACAGGGCTGTTCGGGTTCTTTTGCATATGCTCTTCCATCTGCATATGCGGTGCATTTGTCAATTCACATCAATAAAATGCATACAGTTGCCATGGTAGCAAGCATAAAATTTGCTAATGCAATTCCAGCTGCAAATCCAAGACCATTTCCACAATATCCTGAACAGCCTTAATATTTCTATAAAAAATTTCCAAAAAAAAATGTACTACGAAAAACATTGCAAATATTTGGTTATACTATATAAAATATATAATATATTCATAACTAATATTTCTATAAAAATGTACGAAAAAAATGTATTACATTGCAAATAGTGGGTGTATATAATATATATTCATAATATTAATTTTTATCCTTTATTAAAATTTAACAAACACAATGTTTCTCAATGAATTTCAAAAGCGCTTAAATGGCTTCGCCAGTCGAAAACTCAAGCCCAAACGAGCCCGCCATTATGAAAAAAATTTCATAAACAATATTTTCTCGCAAAAAAATTTATAAACCATCGATAGAGAACAAGCGTTTTTATAAAAAAAAAAATAGTACATATTAAAACTCTTTAGATAAGAGAAAAGCAAAAAAAGAAATATTTGGAAACCGATAGAAAAAACTAGCTACTTAGTAGTTTTGTTTAAATATCTGTACATAGAATACCTTCCACTTTTTCTGCTTCCCAGGAAATATCTGATATACAAATCTTTGATGTAAAAAATTGATTCGCTTAAGTAAATATACATACATAAACACAAAATTAAAAATATGTGCAATAAAAGTTGGCTCTTTATTTCCGGGCTGGGACGTGTTCCGTCGTGCCGGGCCGGGCCCCACTAAAATTCTTAACGTGCGGGCTCGTGTGTGTTTTTGAAAGTTGATTTTGCACTCGTGCCGGGCCGGGCTTGAAAATTTAGTCCCGTGTCCATCTCTACATGGAATTGCGGTTACAAGAAGTGGTGTTATTATTTGGTAACACAATTTTCCGGTGTCAAAATGTTCAATAACAAGCAGAATAGGCCTGTAACAAATCCATACTGTCATTGGTGTGAGTTACAACAAACACATCATTCTGACGAAATGCCATCCACGGCGAAAAACTGAGCTGTCGCCCCAACACCACCTTGTTTAATACACCTTGGCCGAAGACGACCTCTGGCAGTCTGTTTCTGTAACTTTTCTCTACCGATTATTTCCCTACTGGTAGAGAAAATACGTCACTCTCACCTACTAATTAGCAGTAGACAACAGGGCGGCGAATTCATATCTCAATTCGCCTTGGTAGAGAATTGTTACAGAAACGAGCTACAGTACCTCATGAACTTATATGACATCACACGAATTTGCAGGAAGTTACAGAAACAAAATTTATATTATTCATATATCCGTACAGTGTTTTTTTTTTAATATTTGCAATGTTTTTCATAATAAATTTTGTTCGTTAATTTTTACAGAAATATTTACCTCCGCTCTGGTTGTCGTAAGTCGTTCGCATCGACAGTCGTTCGTTGAATTATGTCGTAAATAAAAACCTTAACAACAGATATTAACACGTTTTCAATACTTCTTCATTTCGATCGAAAGAATAGGAATAAAAATTTGTAGTAGATTATGTCATTGGTTGCCTCATAACGCCAATGAAAATCTCAAATTTCGACGAACGACTGTCGTTCCGACAATCGGAATATGGGTGATTGTTCATTCTGCATCAAATGGCATATAAGTTAATGTTTCAAAGTATTTACTACGATAATTGTTATATTTTATAAAATATAAATGATCGTTTCTTCTACATATAAAAGAAAGGAATATCAAGGTATAAGCATGAAAACGCCAAATCTGTCATTTACTAAAAGCCTGACACATTTCAAATCGACCATGCAGCAGTTGCACATGAATTTTCTAAATAAGTAATGTGAAGTGGGATATAACAAGTGCTTTTGTATAATTCGCACAAAAAACACATTTCCTCAGTTGTGACAGTCTTTTAGTAAAGAGCCGATACCAGTTTTTTTTAATGAAAAATGAGATACAATAAACAAATTTTTTACGATAAATAAATTCTAAACTCTTAGGTGCCAGAAAAAAAAATCATAAAAAAACATGTGGGTAATTTGAATTAATGCAAGAAGAAAAATAGCGACCCAGTCTGGTGGTACATGTGTATATCCATAACCATGTCGGTAATGCCAATATTGATATCCTCATGCCGAATTTCAATTAGGCACTGATATTACAAAAAAGAAATTGGTAAAATGTGCCATGTAAAAACAAATCTAATGGCTAAGGACACAGTAAAAAATGAAAAACGTATCGTTCTAATTAATGAGCTAAAAATCAAACCGGCAACGAAACCACTTCAAATATCGTACATGCCAAAAATGTAAGCAACAAAACGAAAAACCAAACATATTGCTTTTAGTAGGGCAATCTCAAACCTGTGCGCCAAATTGACACTCAGCCGCGTGTGCGACATCCTGGCTTGTACCTGCTGCTTCTTGCTGCGTGATATGAATATTATCTGTATATTTTGCCGTTTTCAACTCGCAATTTTCGCTAATTGGATAGGGACATTGTTTGGTCATCATATTGAAGTCTCCCCTTGCCATGTCATAGCTTGTTGTGAAGACTTTATTACCAGGTGCCATTGGAGTATAGGTAGAGTTAGGTGCGACCTTTGCATCAAATTGTTCGCTTACGGTCTGACGTTTGCAATTTCCGATCAAATTTCGTTGTGGCAGCATACGTGGAATCATATCAAATGGGCGACTACGATTAAGCGAACTTATTGTTGTGGCACACGATTTCACATTGCTGCCACCGAAATCGTATATTTCTTCTTGTAATGGTTCCGCCTCCATCGAGCTTTTCATTTGATTACGATATGTGCGATATGAAATATTTCGTTCTAAGCTATTTGATTCTCTTCTCTCTTCTCTTTCTAAACTACTACTACGTTGGACCCAATCGTGCATTAAATTATTTGAAATAGAAATCGATTGGTTACGTTCAAGACTACCACCCTTCGATTGCATTGACTTCACTGCGCCAATAACAAAAGTGTCTTGATTTCTTTCTAAACTACCATACGAATTTGGATTGTTGCATCTTCGTATCAACTCAGATTTAGAAATCTTTGGATCTGTTGGCATGCGTTGAAAATCGTAGATATTTGCTTGTGGATTATATAAAACAAAATTATTTTGCATTTGGGGTCTTTGGCCGCGTAAACTATTTGAATTTTCGGGACGCATGGCATTAAGAAAAGTGCATTTTATATCTAAACAACTACAATGCATGGTACGGGGCAAAGATTCTGTTGTTTGACTAACTGCAGCACCACCAGCTGAATGGCTAAGCGGCGGCGCGAAACATTGCTCATTAACAATCGGATCTAATTTCAACAGTTCGGATGCTGGTAATTTGGTCATTTTTAATGGTACATCTGTACTATTTGGGACTTTTGTTGATTTAGATTCATCTATCTCTACAGCTAATGTATTAAATACCGAAGCTGGTGTTGTATAAGCTGCTGGATTAATGCTGCGATTTTCGTTTTCCATCATTAGCCTGGCTAAAACTTCGGGATTTTGAGCAATAATGTACGTTTGTGGGCTCAGCTGGTTCTTTTCGCTTACTATGGATGACTGCAGTGCGGTATCTACGAAAGTGAAAAGAAAAGAGTTTGAATTAAAAAGTTAGTGCGCAAGACCCATGCTACAAGTGAAAATTGCTTAGATACATTCCTTCTATCTTTCTAAAAGGCAGCTTTACTTTACTGCTTACATTATAAAACGGACCTAACACTTGTAAAGTGCGTTATAAGTATTTTCGTTTTCTTATCTTAACGGTAAAAATAATTTTGTTATTCCGAAATTACGGCAACCCGAAAGTGACACTTTACTACATTCGTCATAAAATTTCAAAGGTTGGCAATGCAACATAAGCAAATAAAGAGCAAGAGCAACTTTTAGCAAAAACAAAAACCTTGGTTGAAATAGGTTTGTTCCACACGCTTTCCGGGCTGATTCGGTAATTAGAGCGTAAAAATAAGTTACTCTCTCACAAGTGTCAAAAATGTGTCAACCCGTGCCAAAAGTGCCCAGAGCGTGAGGAATTCAAAAAACAACTTTCCCTGCCCGGAATCAACAAATCAGCTCTAAACAATGATTTTATGTGTATTTATTTTATATAGGTAATATAATTAGCAAATACCTACATTTCTGAACCTTTAGTGCTATTTTTAATTTTTGTATTTTACAAAATTTGCTATCGCATGTACACAAACCAAAAAAGTTAGATCCCTGCAGTGAAAAATTATCAATTGTTAAAACTAACCAACTTATAGTTAGCTTTTTGGCGAGATTTCGATTAATACCTCACTTTTAATTAGCTATGACAAAACCAACTTAAAGTGAATTGTAAAGTCGTGCAGGAGTCATGCAGACGCAATCGGGAGTTGGTTTTCTTNATTTTATGTGTATTTATTTTATATAGGTAATATAATTAGCAAATACCTACATTTCTGAACCTTTAGTGCTATTTTTAATTTTTGTATTTTACAAAATTTGCTATCGCATGTACACAAACCAAAAAAGTTAGATCCCTGCAGTGAAAAATTATCAATTGTTAAAACTAACCAACTTATAGT